TCCCCATCACTAACCCATAACTCACTGATTCGCCGTATCAAAGGGGCCTGGAGGTCATTATCTTAGCGTGATTGTAGATTAGGCCTTCTGTCACCCTATTGCAAGGAATTCCTCCCTGTTGCCTCACTTGTCCCCTTAAACCACCTTCTCACAGCCACGGTATGATGACTAAACACTGATCTCCCTGGGCCATTTTCCTGCTGAAAACCCGTTAGTGGCTTAGAGGCTCAGGTCGCCTCTCCAGTTGCTTCTGCGTCCTCTGCTGTGGTGATTTGAGCTGACCCCTCTCAGTTCTCTGCCAGTGCTGGTCCCCTGCCCCCCCAGCTCCCTGCCCCCTTAGTCTTCCCTCAGGACTCAGCTCTGGCCTCACTTGCAGGAATTCCTTCCTGCAGCAGGTTGGAGAGTCTTAGCATCTTAGCACTTAGCGTACGCTGTAACGTGTGTTGACGGCATCTGTTTTTGCATCAGACGTCTCTAGATAGAGTGTGATGTTTCAGGTGGCACTGAATGTGTTCTTTACCTTCTGGTATTAATGTATATCAGGAACGTACCTGTTCAGCAGAGCATTCCCGAAGCCCTGGTATTGGGTCCCTTAATCCGAAGCTAATTTTTTTAAAAAAATATATTTAGTAGTACAGAAATTAGGCCTAATATTATGTGCTTTTAACTCTAGTGTAACCATTATCGTGAACTTATTGGAAAGTTCAATAACTTAGGGAAAGGCCAATATTTATTCATATTAAAGGTGTTACTAATACTAATATTATCCTCCATGTTGCCTCTCACGGCCTTTGTCTCGCACAGATCGTAAAAAGGACCTTGTAAAGCTACAGGCAGGAGAATATGTTTCTCTTGGGAAAGTAGAGGCAGCGTTGAAGAACCTCCCGCTAATAGATAACATTTGTGCATATGCAAACAGGTAAGTAAGAACGTAGAATTCATGCTGCTTTTACTGAGAACACTTGGTGAGCTCTTGGCAGTTCCTTCCTGTATGGGCCTTTGAAAAGCTATATCCCAAGACCTCTTNATATTACTTGAAAAGTTTTTAAGAGAAAATCATATGTTCTTTACTTGGATGAACTTCTAAAAGTTAAGTTAGCACATCAAGAGAATGTGTTGAATTGGCTGTGCAGCCTTGGATAAATCACTTAATCTCAAAATTTCATACATCAGAATTGGGAAATTAGTCTCAATGATTTGGGAAATCCCATTCAGCTTTAAAATCCTGTGCTTCTCTGATTAACTTTTTTTAGGTTCATTTTCCGGAAAGTTCGAAGCTTGCTAGGTGGAAATATACGGCTTTTATTGTGTGGAGGTGCTCCGCTTTCAGCAACCACACAGCGATTCATGAATATCTGTTTTTGCTGCCCCGTTGGTCAGGGCTATGGACTCACAGAATCTGCGGGGGCTGGGACAATCACAGAAGGTTAGTGTCACCACAAAGTGGGGCATCCAACAGAGGCTGGCTGGGTACAACTCCATGCGTTTTTGGGTAAGGGTTGTTTTCTGCAGGTACATAGGAGAAGAATGGTTAAGAGATTTGTACAGTAGAATAACAGTAAATTCCAAGTTCTCTGATTATTGATACAAGGTTTTACAATATGTTAGGTATATCTGATAGTCAATAATTCATCTAGAATTTTTCATTAAACTATGTAATATTAAAAAACATTTAGGGGCCGGGCAAGTGGCTCAGTTGGTTAAGAGAAGCTTGCTCAAAAGTGCGAGCTCTGAGCAACAGCAGTTCTATTCCTGGCCCAAGCTGAGTTGCCGCTGAGCTGCCAACAGGTGGCAGGATGGTTCAGCTCAAAAAAGAAAAAAAAAAAAAAAAGAAAAAAAGCCGTTAGCATTCTGGAAAAAATAAGTTTTAGTAACAAGGATTGGCTCTGCTATATACATTTATTTTCTTACATCATTAAATTTTGTTTGTGTAGAAAATTAACATTTTTTTGTTTAGTTGTTTAGGCGTGTGTATTAAGGCTCAAATTCAGAAACGTTTCTTGGTGGGGGTGATCTCTGCACGTGTAGAGAGAAAGTAGATTCAGGTCCCGAGAATGTTCAGTTTATCCAGATGATGTGGTTGAGGAAGTGATCCAAGTGTCCCCACACCAATCAGTCACATAGTGTCTCATGTGTCCCTTTTATGGAAGAAACTTACTTTGCTTCCCAGTAATGGAAAGAGCTGTGTCTCTACTCTGTGTTTTCTAGATACTGAGAGATACTAAACCCGTTACCTGATGATTTCCCCGTTTATCCTGAGTAGTTCTGTGTACTGTTCTTATGCCAGCTTTATCTTCCATTGCTCCCATATTTTCCCTTTTTTCAGTTATGTTCTCTGTATTTTATATTTTTGGTGACTACTACTATGTCTTGTTTTGTAGGAAATAAACAAGCAGTCTTAAATATATGCATATGATTCCTTCTGAGGATCCTTGATTTTTTCTGTTATAAGATTCACATTGAATGTGTGATTAATGAGTTACAGTTTGTTGTAAATAAGACTCTGTAAAGTGTTAGATATTAGTATTTCTGATACTTGAATGATCTTTGAGGACGAAACACAGTGCAGTAGGAACATAATAGTGGTGGTTTCTTTTCCCAGATGCTTGAAAGTTAGCAGTCTTACTCTCCTGCCTGGCCTTTGAACTCTTTACTGTATGACTCTACTTAGGGTGTGACAGCGTAACTGATGTCAGGGAGGCTTCTCAGGCCTCACGTGGAGAAGGCTGGCGAGGTGCTCTGTAC